ATTTTCGTTAAACTAATTTGAAAATAATTGTTAACTAGTCTCAGTCAGTTTCCCCGTGGCTTCGGCTGCTGCTAAACATCTTAAATGTCGGGCCGTAGTTGAAAATAATTTTCAAACAAGTTTCTTCAAATATATCGCATTTTAAACCGTTAAAGTGTTTTACTCTAAACTACAGACAGTATGTATTTCCTTTTGTTATTTTGTTAGCCTATTACAAAGAAATCGCTTAGCGAATTTAAGTCGTGAGAAATGTTAGTTGTGTCACGACCGTTACCACGAACATTGAAACCACTCGTACATTCGTCTCATTCGGTTATGGCGTTTCTAGGGTTACTTACGATTGGTACATATTATGGTGGTATTACGAGGATTTTTCTTTTCTCTTTTGTCGTCAGAAATTGTATGATAGGTTATCTATAGAATCTTATTTATACTAATATTTCAGACAGTTGATATATTGTCGTCACGTTCTAGCTGTGTAAGTAAGTGTTACCTCGATTTTATCTGTGAAACTATTTAGGGAAATATCTATACTCTATTTTTTGTTTACGATTCCTTATAATATGTTAGCGTGATATTTCTGTTTGTTTCTTGTTATTCTTAAATAAATAAGTGTGTTTGTTAGTTTGATTGAACGCACTGATATCAGAAACGAATGATTTAATTTAAATAAATCTAAGTCATCTATTATCGCTTCAATTGTAAAACGCCCACTTGCATAAAGAATTTTCGGTTCCGTGTTCGAATACCGTGAAAAAAGGTTCCAATTTGAAAAACACAATTAATATTTTTTATATCGCGCAATTTAATTACTTGGTGTAATAAAAATGTATAGAAGGCAAATGTTCGTCAAATTTGCCATAACTACAATTATGTATGGACACTAACTTCTCTTAATAACGAACGAATTCATTTTAAATAATTATTTAAAATGAACGAATTATACTGGTATGATGTTATTATGTACTAGCTGTGACGGCGACTTCGTCCGCGTAGAATAGTTATTTTGGGCATCAAAATTGGTTTTTGCAAATCTCTACCTCATCTTTATAAATTTAAACTTACCCACGACAAAGCCCGCGCCCCGTTATTCCTGCCAGTTAATTAAAAAAAAATGATATATTCTGTCGCTGACATTTAGTAGATAATTTAAAGAACTATTATTCTTGCATACATATTTTTGTCGCTGTCGAAGCGTATGCAATGGAAACCTACAAGGATAAATAATTTTCCCCGTTTATTTGTACATTTTCCGCTGTTTCTTTACTCCTACTAATCTGAATCCTCTACCCAATACAAAACTATTTAGCTATATTACTATAGATAATCCCGATCCCGTTTTCCCTCGTGGGATATATTGCGACATATTTCTATATCCTTTTCTCTGTTTGTTTTTATTTACAGACAAGTACTTTATCAGACTTCTGTGCATGGCTGAACTTATTTTTTTCGGGTCCAAACGCAGGACCTCTCGCGGTTAACGCAATACTAGGCAACACCTTTTTTAAGCACTTAGCTACAGAGATAAATATACGTATAATAAAATACCTAATCATCGAATAAACCTTATATAATATAAACGTTTATAAAACCTTTAGTAATGTTAATATTGTTTCAACTTATCGTAGATATATTAAAATGTTTCCTTAATCAGAGTTGAATCGAAATGAAGCAATAACTAAATATTAATGTTAAATAATGTATGTCGGTTGAAATGTTCATTGATTTTAATAATAATAATTTTATCCTTACTAATAATATAATGCGAAAGTAACTCTGTCTGTTTGTTACTCTTTCACGCCAAAACTACTGAACGGATTTGAATTAGTAGTAAGAGTGATGTGAGGTGAGAGTGTTGCGGCAAAGTACCACTTACAACATAGACACAATGCGCAATTACATAAATTAATAAACAGCCTTAATAATTAAAAATTCTACCCCAAGTCACTATTCCACGCGAACGAAGTCGCGGGCACAGCTAGTTATTTATAAATATTTTTGATTGATATACAGTCTAATTATCAGTCTTTCTTTCAAAATAATGCTTTGAAAAGCTAAAAAATTTTTTTATAAATAAGATACGATAATAGTAGAAATATGATGTTTTCTTTTGTTTTCGAAGATACCTATATCTTTTTACCATTTCCCGGTGTACAGTATATACCGGTTGTTGATAAATGAAAATATGACTATTGTAATTGGCATACTTTCCGAAATAAGGGTTTATATTATTATTAGCTGTGTCAGCAACTTCGCTCGCGTAGTTTAGTTATTTTGGGCATCGAAATTTGTTATTGCAAACCTTCTCCCCATCTTTATAATTTATCGCTGTTACCCACGATGTTGTCCGCGTCTCGTCGTTTTCACAAGTTAATATAAAATAGACACAGACTGTCACAAACATTTTTTTGGATCATTTAAAAAGTAATCATTCATTTATAGATTTTTTAGGTATCTTAAACCGTTTTCGTTGCGTAAGCATCGGAAGCCCACAAAGTTGAATAATTTTCCCCACATTTCCCGCTGTTTATTTGCTTCTATTATCCATAGCTCGGATGTTTTATAAACCGTCCCAAACATGAGCTTTAAAATAATTCATAATTTAATTCGAACCTGAGATTCGCTCGTTCCAACAAACAGTCTTCAGTTTTATATACTAGTATAGATTATTATGTTTTCTTAAAGATTTTAAAACACGCAGCAGTTCTCGTTGTATTAAAAGTAACGGAAATTAACACGGCCATAAGTTAAAAAAATCGTTTAAATTCTTTATCTGTGCCGAAAGTTTTCACGAACGAAAGTTGCAGACGAACAAAATGATGAATGTAGCAGGGAAAAAGATTTTCAATTTTCGCGAGAAATGCGGGCCGTTTGCGATAAGATTGTGAAGATGATTGTGGAAAGTAGTGAGCGTTCTTCTCTTTTAGTTGGCGAAATTACCATGACTGCAATGTGGTGGTATATTCTACTGAGTTGAACAATTCTAGACAGTGAGGTATTTGTACATTGAAGGTAAATTCACTTTGAGTAAAAATGTCTAGAATTTTAAGATTTAAATGCTGTCCGTTGAGTTACGTTAAAAATGCGATATACATATATTACTTGTTTGTGGTGCTGCAAAGTATTCGAAACGTCGGGCCGTAGTTCAAATAATTTTTAAACCCATAAAGTTGTATTAAATATCAAGTCATTATCAAACTGGTTTTGGTTGGTCTTTGTATTTTTTTATATTTTAAAATTTGTTGTATAATAATAGCAAGTTAGCTTAACTGGCATTTAAAAACACGAAATACAAGCTTTTCAACAAAATTATTTTTTTGCCAAGATTAGTCAAAACAAAACTATACAGATTGTTATTATTTGTTTGTTATTTAATATTAATTATTCTTTTATTTAATTTTATGTATAGAATTTAAAAAAACACTTTTAATGGTTTACGCGACATATATTAGTTACCTAAGTTAGGTTTTTCATTAATTCATTAATTCAACAAACAATATCGATGGAGAATATATAAGCTAACACTTGATACTAACTTTGAATATATACGAAAAACGAATGAAGATATCTCTAACTTTGTGTTAATTAAACCAAAGTTGAAATAGAAAATAGTAAAATTTGTCGAACTAAAACAATCGTACAATAATTCATATTTTAATTACGTGTTGATAAAGTTAACGTGATCGATAACCGTGATATCCAGCGAAAATAACGTGATTTCTGACGTTCACGAATTGTTTGCTTCTGCTAAATAGTAATTTTACTCTCTGTGGCAACCAGTAATACTCTGTAAAAGTCCATTAATTTTCTACTATGAATTTCGTAATATAGAATCGAACTGGCATGTAATGAAAATAAAAAAAAATTAGAGTTCTATTTTCAAAAATGCTTTTAAATTGAGGGCTTAGAAAATCGTTGAAGGACGCCATGGAAACCTACAAGGATAAGTAATTTTTATCCTTATGGAATTAATAATTTCCCCGATTTTCCCACATTTTCCGTTGTTTCTCCGCTCTTATTGATCGCAGTGCAATGTGTTTTATCTTATATCTATTCTTAATTTAAATTTTGTCTTTCTTATGTACATCGTTGTTCAGATATAAATCATTAACATTTTATGTTGCTATTAAAGAATGATATTAAATTTGATTCATCACGCGGGTAGTTTTAAAAAACAAGTTCTCTTAAGAATTAATTAACCGTCTAATGTAAGACTTATAATATGTATGAACTATTTTTTATATGTTATTGCACATTAATAACACTATATAATTTAAGAATCGAAAATAAATTAGAAAAAAATAGAACCTTAATACGCAAATTTTAAGTTTGAAATTACATTGCGCGAGAGGTGCATGTATCAATAAGTTGAAAAAATTCGACGAGATGTAGGACTCGGTAGCTCAATTGGTAGAGCAACAGCACGGAACGCTGACGATGCCGTTTAAAATCCTGCCCGAGTTGAAATTTTTTTTCAATTTATTTTCGATTTTTAAATTATGTATGAACTTTTAAATAAAACACTTTAACGGTTTAAAACGCGATATATTAGTTAAACTTATTTTGAAATGGTTTTTAACTTCGGCCCGACGTTTCGGATGCTTTGCGGCAGCCGTGTGACCGTGAGCCGTGAGCCGTGTGTGTATATCGCGTTTTAAACCGTTAGTGTTTTATTTAAATGTGTACTACTCGCGTAAACTATAGACAGTATTTTATGTATGAACTATTTAACCTAAGTTGAACGGCTTTAATTATAAAAATTTATTTACGAAAATAGCTACGGTAGGTTATCGAGACAGTACACTGTTGCTTTTAGGTTTTGGTACCATTTATAATTCAATACCTCTCATGGGAAATGAAAAATATAAATATTGAAATAATAGTAAGTTCCATGCTATTTACTAGTATATAAATATAATTACATAGAAAACCGTAAAGATCAGATTTGCGCCGCTTCATTTGTGCGCGAGCGCAGGTCTGTGTATATTTTTGTTGACAATATGCTGTGCTACGGTGCGATTCTGCTGTTTGCTGGTTTCGCGATCACTGCAGAAGATGGTAAAATTATTATTTTTTACACTAGCTTCAACTCTTGGCTTCACCCCCAAATAATTAAATTCGATGTTTTATATTGCTTACCCAACTGTAATGTCAACATTACTATATATTTACCTACAATAAGATTATTTTAATTTTTTGTTTTATTAAATATTCGAGCTACCGTGTCACTTTATATTCCATGCCTTGAATATATTCACCTGTCGCACACGTTATTTTAACTAATGCACCTAGTCTTGAGGTTAAACCTCAAATGCTTTGCAACTTAAGAAAATCGAAGTTCAAATTACCGATACAAAACACAACTAACTTTATTTTATTGGTATGGTGACATATAATTATGCCACACATTTTTATTTATTAACTTTGTAATTTTATTAAGCCTTATCTAATTTTAATACAAGTAGGCTCAGATCACCTTCAAGAGATATAGTTCAAAACTTAATGACATACTGGTCTAGCAAATAAAAAAAATCAAAACCTAGTTACATTCAGACCTGGGATCTAAATCCTAAACTATCCTTATCTTTTCAATGTTTTATTTATCGCGTTTTAAATCGTTAAAGTGTTTTATTTAAATGTGTACTACTCGCGTAAGCTATAGACAGTATTTATCCTTATCTTGAAGAAGTTACGTTTGAGTTGCCATATTAAGAATACCTTGACTAGGACTCGGTAGCTCAATTGGTAGAGCAACAGCACGGAACGCTGATAACGCCGGTTCAAGTCCTGCCCGAGTCGAAAATGTTTTCATTTTATTTTCGATTTTTAATTTGTCTAATACTTCCATTTATTGTTACAGATATGCAAACGATCACCCATATGATGCAATTGTTAAAATCTGATAAAGAATTAGATTTAGTGCCTCCCGTTAAAGGTAATAAGATACACGAATAATATTTTAATAGATAGTATATAGCTATCTATTAAAATATAAGTCGTAAACAAGGTAATAATTGTATGTATTTTTCAGTAGTTGAGTTTTTAGTTTTAGCCAATTTTAATCTATATTTATATCATTTAGTATTAAATAATAGAAGTAGTAATAATAGAATAGTATTTTAACTCATCTTGAAGTTTAAACAAACTTCAAAAACATCTGATTAGAAAAAAGAAATAAAAGATTCATATTTTAATTTCATTGCTTTTGATGTAGATTTGCCGTAGATTAGAAGAATGGAAGAATAGTAAGGGTATTTGGTATCCTACTTCGTCTTCCTGCGATTTGAACCCAGTACCTGGCTTTTACACAAACGTAAATAGTAAAACGGTTATATATATTTTTTTGTCTAATTTCATTATTCTTTTATAGTGTACAAGGGCATCCTGAATCCAAAATGCGTAAGCTATTACCACCGTCTGTATATCACAAAGTACGTCCCACCACGTACCTACCACTATTACCACGAAGCTGTTGCACCAGGAACCGTACCCTATGAAGATGTGATGAGAGAAGGAAATCTCGAAGTAAGTTTTTGGATATATTAAATAGTGATCTCCATCTTGTTTCAATTGTGAAACATATTTTCTTGTAAAATAATATAAAAAATATGTTTATTGTCTCTCTTAATAATTAAATTACAAATAGATCAAAAAAGTTTATTACTAACTTGTATTGGAACAGCCTCGCTCCTTCCCGTATTATCTACATTAAAAGATTGACATTTAGTTTATAATTATGTTGATTAACGTTGTCATAAAAAATCTTGTAAATAATCTCAAACTAATTGTGAGAGTTTAACGGTTTTTAACGGTTTTAAACGAAAATGATTAGTTAAACTTAAAAATTATTCTAATTACGGCCCGACGTATCAGATACTTTGCAGCAGTCACGGGGAGACTGTTATTTTATTGTGAGAGTTCATGAGTTTGAATCTGGGACATCAAGGTAAATTTTTGTTTTGTGAAAATTTACCTGCCTATGAGAATTAACAAGGAGAATGGCAGAATACTCCTGTAATCTTGTATAATAGAGAAAAACCCCCCTTTTTTTTCATGTTTAATTAAGACATTTCCTAAAAGTAAGTGTTTGTTTCAGTATACACACTTGGATTATTAGCTTGATTTATTTTAGCATCTGTATGACACAGTAAACATTTAATAACTTAAAACACGAAATATATTAATTGCTTTAGCTACCAATGCTGTGACCCCAGCTATTGCAAAGCATCTGAAACATCCGGCTGTGGTTAAATAAAATTGTATTTCACATTTAAAACCGTTAAAAATGTTTTATTTAAATTAAATTCGAGTTTCAACATTCAAATTTGATTTATTTATTAAATGATACCTATTATCTTACTGTACTAATAACAGGTCGGTTGGAGAATAGTTGGCGGTAAATTGGTGACCATCACTGAGATTCCATATCAAGTACTCTATGGGAAATACTGTGGGGGGGGCTCTGATCGCTCCTGAGTGGGTCATCACGGCCGCTCATTGTAAGTAAGTGTTCCATCAACCAAGTACCATTTTTTTATACCATCTTTTTACAGTAAGCACACGAAGCGAAAAAGATGATTCTAAAAAACATTATTTCTGTGTTATAAGATAAAGTTATTTTTTTTAATTACTTAGTAAAATAATTCTATTAGGTTTTTTTTTACAAATTGTTGTGCCTTCATCTGCAATATTTTTTTCGTTTAGGAACTTTATTAATGTTTTGACATGTTATATTGCATGTTATAAAAAACTATAGTAATTCTAAAAGTTAAAATAAATTGAAAAAAGAATTTCACTACAGTTGCAAACGAACTTCTTCCAATCAGTTTACCAGTGTTCCGAACATTTAGATCAACACGGAACAACTTAACAAGTCCATAGTTTTTGAATACACAATCCATAGAAGAGCAGATGACAGTTACAACGTCTGACCGGAGTTTCAAGTTTACGTGACCTTCGAGTGGAAAAGTATTTTCAATTTATTTATCGATTTGTAAGTTATAGTTTTTTTTTTGTGCACTATATGTTCAAATAATTTAAATATAACAAACGGTTACACGTGTAGCTCTTTTTTATATACTAAAGAAGAATTTGGTGATCCGCATTTTGTCTAGCGAACTTCTTCCATTTACATGTTTCAATCAGTTTACAATTGAAAGAGACAAATTATAGATCAATTACAACGGTTAAATCACATTTAAATTTCAGTCCATGATTTTTGAATATCCAACACCAATATACGATTTGTAAGCTAATAAAACCGTTAAAAAAGCCTTAGTTAAAAACTGTCTATAGTTTACGTTTATTTAAATAAAACACATTAACGGTTAAAGTGTTTTATTTAAAGCCTTAGTTTTGTTAACTCTTACAATATTACATTTCATTTCCATAAATGCTTTTAAAATAACGCATATAAAAAAAATGTTTTAATTCTTTGACATTATTAACCTTATTTATATTCGATCAGCTGTTTATAAAAATCTTTATTTGAATAATTGAGAACGTGCTTCTGCATAAATGACGCTGTGAAGGGAGGATATAAAATTTGTACACATCGAATAAAAAGAGCAGGTTAGTGTCTTATGGACTATTTGACGCCCTGGGTTTCAACCCTGGGGAAATAAAATAAATTCTTTCGATCGGCCATGCAAGTTAAGTCTCTTAAACGAAAATTACTGTCTGTAGGTATCGTGAATAATTCACATTTAAATACACTTGTTAACGGTTTAAAAGACGAAACTAGTTAATTATATTTACAAATTATTTTAAATAAACTAAACTTCAATAGGGAAAACGGACTCAGGTTATCAAACATCTGGGATCCCATAAAAAAAACAGGATACCTGTTAAGGCGAAGATAACAGTTCTGAAAGGACCTAGGTTGTGTCGCAAAAACCAAATTAAAACTATTAAATGTGTTTTATTTAAATAAAAATCACATCTCAATCTCATGTTAATTATTACATAAGACACAATTGATTCGTAAAAGCGTTGCCTTGTTATGTAAGAGATCTTATGTTTGAAGCCCGGTAATAAATTATACATTCAATTATGTATCGATATTATAGTTTACCTATATATTTTAAAAATATATTTAGTTATATTTTAAGCACCCTCCTATTTTCCCCCTAGTAATAGTACTAATACATTACTTACTAATGATTCCCGCTTAAAATATCAAATTTTATGAGCGTTGTCCAACAGACGAACTAGGCTGAAAATCAGTATTTGTCATAACTGTGCTGCAACTTATGCTGACGCAAGACCCCTTTGGCATCACTTTTATTTAATCTTTTCGTAATAATTACCTTATTCTAATTACATTTATTTCTACTACTACTACTAATGAATGCCAAATAAAGAGATTTATTATTATTTATTTTTGTCCTTCGGCTTACTTGGGGGGAAATAAAAATAAAATCATTTTTCAGGGAGAATGAAAAATTTGTATACGTCGGATCTACACAGCGGAGTCTGGCCAAGCCCTACACAATATGCGCGCATTATACACACCCAATGTGGAACCTGTCTCGACTACACTCCCACGATTATGACTACCAGCTCGTGTTACTGGATACGGCCGTTCCCGTGACGTCATCGAGTCGGCCTATAGCCATCGGGAATCTACAGGACGTGAAACCGGGGATCATGATCGGTATTAGTGGATGGGGACATGTTACTTATAGCAAGGTAAGGATAAGTCGTTAAAACAGAACATTTTAACGGTTTAAAACGCGATAATACATTAGTGTAACTTATTTGAAAATCATTTTAACTACGGCCCGACGTTTCGGATGCTTTGCCATGGAATATCGAAAATTTCGTCCGGGCCTAATCGCGTTTCGGTTTCAGTCTGTGCCTTTCCGAATACTCTAAACCAAAATAGGTCGACAGCGCACCGTTTTCAGATGATATATGGATTTTTATTACATCTAACATCCGAAACGTCGGGCCGTAATTAAAATAATTTGTAAATAAGGATTACTTATATATTTCACGTTTTAAACCGTTAATGTGTTTATCTAAATGTGTACTACTAACAGACAGAGACAGTATATAAAATACTTCAATACGTTTCATTAATTTTATAATTCTAATATTAAGAATGGATTCTCCACGTTCGTTCCACCGTGACGGCTCTTTTCTCTAATGCGACTTATTTATTCGAAATATTATTTTGCGAAAACTCCATCCTATCCGAAAGTTTCCTAGAACTTTTCGCAACGGGGCCCTGACCGAAAACTCCGTTTCCCACTTGGCAAGTTTCTGATTAAACACACTAGTTGACCTACTTTAGTTTATGGCTTATGAATGAGTTACACTGATACACTGTTGACATTTCAACTGACTTGCGTACGAAACACCGGTCAAGTGAGAGTGTAAACCCGCAGTCGAGGGTTCCGTACCTGTTATATAGATTATGAAGTAAAACGCTTAACAAGTGGAGGCAAATAAAATATTGCCAAGTAGTAGTTTTTTTTATGATAGAAGAGGCCAGACAAACGTGGCGTCCACTTGATGGTGGGTAATATACCCCAATAGTATCTAAATAAGTTGTGCTATCGACCCACTTTAGCTTTGTATATTCGGAAATCTGAAACTAAACCCCGATTAACGGTGGTTCGTGACGCGGGCGGAATTTCTATATTTCTACCACCCAATTACCACCAATATGCTGACGAAATCCAACATGGTTCAGAAAACCGGTGTAGTGTACCCAGTGGGGTTTATCTTTATCAAACGACCCTTTGGCTATTGATTATTAGCCATACATTGTTCCTAAATGTCTTTGTCTTTTTTATAATAGCGAAATAAATTATCTGTCTAAATTTAAACAGTCTAACTGGGTTTATTTGATAAGTCTGATTTCAGACGGACAGACAGTATCTATGTGTTTGGATTTTGTATTGTCTGTAGCCTGCGTGAGTGTTACACATTTAAATATAATACTTTTGACTGTTTAAAACTCAAAATATTACTTATCTTAGTTAGTTATATTTGTTAATTTACTTCACGTTTGAGACCGTTAACAGTTTTTCAGTAAAATATTTGCATCTGGCAATACTTCCGCACGGAACTTTACAAAGGCCTTTTAACGGTTTAAAACGCGAAATATATCAGGTAATTAACAGTAATTAGTTAGGTTACCTAAAATGTTTCGCGTTTATACACTAAAAGTGTTTTATTAAAAGGTTTGGATTTTTCTTTTATTGTTGCACTACGGAACTCTAAGAAGGCCTATTTTCCCCTTTTTGCGTCACAGAACTACTCAGACTAAATAGAAGTACTCCGTTATCTAATTATAAGTTACAAGTTTTTAATGAGCTTTTTATGTTTTATTTCTGCATAACTTGTACTCGAATTAACTAAATACTAAGTATGAAGTTCTCTCTTAGTTAGTTCGTATTTTTATATCAGTTAATATTGTATAAAGAATATTTTTCTTAAAGTTAATTTCTGCGCCTTTCATATACAATGTAACCATATTATCTTTGTTATTACAATACACATATACAACATAATGTTTTAATCCAATAATACAATTAATGAGACATTTAAAAATATAATCTACTTACTTTTATGCAGTTATTATAATTAGTAATATTCTTTAAAATCATTTCACAACCCTCGTTTACAAAAGATAATAATCAAACTTATAAATGTGCATAAAGCATTTAAAAACAGAAATATTTCCTTTTGAAACTGTTTAAAATCGGGCGTCGGGTCGTTATTAAAATTCATCTAAGTTATCACTTTAGTCGTAATTTACCGACCCAACGTTTTGGATACTCTTAAGCTCTTTGCCGCAGCTGTGGTAACGTTTTCTCTATACTAATATGAAGCTGAAGAGTTTATTTGTTTGTTTGAAACCGGCAATCTCAGGAACTAATACTTTGTTTGTTGGTTTGAACATTTATCAAAGAAGGCTTTAGGCTATATTAAAAACATCAGGCTGCGCTCATTCAAAAAATGAAACAGGAAATGTGGGAAATTATTTAATTTTTCCTACATTTCCTGTTTGCTTCTGTTGCGTGCGCTACGAATACAGTACTAGACACCACAAATATATGTGAAAGAATGATAATTTTTTATATGGTCTACAAAAAATACGGGACAGAATATGTCGTTTAAGTTTAACTCGCAAGAACAAAGGAACGCGGACGACGTCGCATATAACTGTCATTACTATAATAATTGTACAATTACTGTATAATTATAATTGATGATAAATGAAATATGTCCATAATATTTATTGTACGCGGACGAAGTCGCGGGCACTGCTAGTTCAAAGTCCCATTTCATTTGCCATAGTCACATAGTCGCTTAAAATTTGTTTTTTTATAGTGTACTACTCGTGTGTTTCAACTCAATATTGTTATAAATGTGTTCCAGAAAAGTCGTATGCAAGACCTCTTACGGCGCACTTACGTACCAATAATGGCGGACGATGTATGCAGACAAATGCCGGACGGGAACTATGACAAAATAACACCGAGGATGTTCTGCGCCGGTTACGTCAACGGCACGAAGGACTCTTGTCAGGTAAAGCCGTGATCTTATAGGCCTTATGTTAAATCAAATCAATCTACACTCAGAAAAATACAAGAACATAAATAATTATAGACGTTTGTGGAGGGATATCACTCAGCTTTTGTTGTACCTGGAAGTAGGCACGATGCTGATTTTCAGTGATGCCACACGATCATTACAAAACATGGCGTAGGAGCTACAGCTAACAATTTGGGTCTCGGGTTCGATTTAATCCGTTTTTTTTTAATTATTTTTAAACACAAGCAGGACTTGAAGCAGCATCCACAGCGTTCCATGCCTTAACCAATAGAGCATGTCATATTTTTTTTTCTCCATTTTTTGAAATCGTCGTAAAATTTTGGACTTTAATTTTTTTTTTGGAAATTTCGAAATTAAAGCACCGCGTTAAAATAGGTGGGGTCGATAGCGCAACTTGTTTACGTGTTAAATGGATGAGGTATTTCTCCTTCCATCAAGGGAACCCCACGTCCCTCTCTGTCTTAAGAAGCTTTGTGAGCTTCGTGGTGCATGGAGGTAGACACTTTATCCGTCCGTTTTATCATCGATTTAAATTAGGTACACGTAAATTGACTGTAGTGTCCTTACTGAAATTACTGTGTTTTCTACCAAAATTCTTGTTCAAATCCGAGACCTCTAATCGCAATGTGTTTAACCATTGAACCCAGACGGCCGTAGTTAATTAGAGAATACATTAATTAAACAAATTCCCTAACAAAACAGAAATCTGGTCTTTGAATTGCATTATTCATATTTTCTCTGCAGTTTTATTCGGAACGAAGCATAGTTTAATTACATACGGAGTTCGCAGCATAATTAGTCGTGTTTGTTCAATAATTGGGTTGTTTTAAAAAATATAGGTTACAGTACTGGTGTCCCATTCTCGCGCGGTCGATATTTTTGCGTCAAATGTGTCAATTTCAGACATATTGTATAGTGCATTTTTTCTAACTTGACATTTTTTGTAAACAAACACACAAAGAAAGCTACAAAAAACATATTAAAGTGAAATCCCGTTTCCCCCTCGTGGGGCATGGGGCGAAGACATTTTGTGTCCGTTTCACCGATCCGTTCTTTAATAGGCAAGTAGTTGATCACTTCTGGGTGATCACACCCTGCCCGACCGAAACATTTTTTTTCCTGGGATTCGAACCCAGGACCTCTCACCTTAACCATTTGGCTACAGAGGCGGCGTTAAAACATATATAAGACTTATTAATAAACATAAAAATAAAACTAGTTGGTCAGAAAAAGGTGTTAGAATGGGATCTTACTTAGCTTATATCAGGCCCATTGTTGACCTGAAACTGATTTTCAGTAAGTACTTAGAGCGTTGACAGCGGTGCCACACACAAGTGAAAATAAACAAAAATGTCTTGTTGTAAAAGTACTATCATAAGGCTTACTTTTGTAAATCAATACAAAAACACTAAAAGTAAGAACATTTTGAGACACTAGGTTATATATTCAATTATTGAAATACCATAAGCTCACTTAGTAAAAACCATAATTTTATGCAAAATTAATAAAAAAAAATGTATATAAATAAAACACTTTACAACGGTTTAAAACGCGATATATTTTAGTAAAACTTGTTTGAATATTATTTTTAACTACGGCCCGACGTTTCGGATGCTTTGTAACAGTCGTGGTCACGTGTCCCCGTAACTGCTGCAAAGCATCCGTGAAAGTTTAACTACCCGCGTAAACTACAGACAGTATGAATGTATGTAAAGAAACTGATTTTAATTTTTTAGTTTGACATTTACATAGGGATGGGATGTAAGTAACATCAATGACAATGTACAAGTACAAATCCCACGCATGCAAGATCGCTGAAAGAGTTACAAACGTCAAGTTAAATAATAATGACAAAAAAAAATAAAGGTTATACAAGTGTTTTTTAATTAAAGTTTATTTGTTCCATAAACAATTAATCGATGTTTCTTTATCCCTGTATCATCTGTGGCAACAACTTCACTCTATAAAATGATCTGTACACTATGGTTTGAAATGGACCATATCTGTAGTCTTTTTCCAAGTTAGGAAAATACATCATAGGTATTGTTCCTTACGCAATTGTAACGTTTAAAATGAAACTTTTAATCGAACTACGATTCTCTGACAATTGACGTAGGTCAATGTCAGATCTTCTGTCTAACTGTAAAGTTAAAATACATTTTACTGTAACTGAAGGTAATTCTTTTTTCAAAGTTTTATTTAATGTGGGGTATTATTACGAGAAAACAATAAAAAAATCGCCTCCCTTTCATGTTTATAAACCAAGGTAAAAAGAGAGACATTTTACGAAATATAAAATAAAATTCAGTTTCAATATTATAGGCCCAGGGAATGTATATTTTAATAAACGCAAATACTGTTATGTTAATAATTAACGCAGAGGGCTTTTAATTAATAAAGATTAAGTAGGGAGAGCTTTCTCGTGTTTCGTCATTTTTATTCATATTCAAATGACAGAGATGGACGTGGAATAACTTATTCCTATATAATAATTCTAGTATCGCCATTATTTGAAATTACCCTTGTATTTAATGTGAAGGAAAAACTAAAACAACTTAACTTTTACAATAAATTTCGTATTTTAAACCGTTTAAAAGTGTATTATTTAAATACTATTTGCATAAACTACAAATGATACTTAAGTAGGCAATGAGAATTTATACAGATTTATATCTTGCTATATAAAATGGGTGTTTTTGAAGGATAAGTTTTTTATGGGTCCTTGGCCTATTGGTTGATGTTGTTAGGCTAATAAATAATCAACGGGTCTCGATTTCCATCGGGTCCTACATGTTTTTAATCAATTTTAAAGAATTCATTTAACAATGGTTAAATAAATTGCTATTACCACCAGGTCCCAGTTTGAATCACAGGAAAACAAAATACGGAAAGCAAAGCAGAGTCTAATCAACTATTACTACGATAACAAACAATAAAAAAAAACTCGGTTTCAATAATCTACTGTCTAAGTATTGTCTGTAGTTAACACGGGGCTGTACTTTTAACGGTTTACAACGCGAAATATATAATTTAACTTATGTTAACTACAGTCCGACGTTTTGAATGCTTTGCAGACGCCATGATCACGGTGGACTTGTATTTTCCGCGTTTTAAACCGTTAAGATGTGATTTAATTAAATTAGTACTACTCGCGTAAACTATAGCCAATACTTAGTCAATAGATTATTTAAATTTAGTTCCGAGCTTGAGGTAGATAAAACGGGACGCACTTGATATCGAAATCGAATTTCAAGTCGATGAGAATCGACCCCCGCACACTGCAATATGTCACGCATTCACAAAAATTTGTCGCATTGTTTTAAATCAAATAAAAGATACGAATTCCGCGTATTTGTAGTTTAGCTCTGTATGATCAGCGCTTAAATTACTTTAAACGTTAGCAAATTCAGGTCACGAGATTTTTAATTAAATAACACTATTTGCATAGAGCTTTAGAAAGCGCTATTCCTTCCTTTTCTATTTAGATGTGTACTTAAAACATATTTTGAAGTACGCTTTCACTTATGTGTGAAAGAGGCTTAATTTTGACATTTGAGTGCTTAAGAATTTAGTTTTATTTTTCAACGTCAAACGCGATACAATTAATTAAAGTAAAATATGAATGAGGAGGATACACAAGCATGGGATTTACCTGAAGGAAAATGAAATCCCCTAACCATATAATATCTTGAAAAGATGCACTGCCGATCTATTTTGGTTTTGGGTTATCGGAAATCCACAGACTGAAAACGCGAAGGTCGTCAGTATATCGGAAATTCCATTTATAGGCAGTGCGTCTATGATTTAAGTGAAAATTATTGAAAATGCCGAATTGTATAAAATTAATTATAAACACAATTAATAATGTATTGAAGTGTCTAATAAGTACATATTTTACCTATTTCAATTTATCTTAAGCAAAGATAAAGAAACACATTATTTCATAAGATTTTTTGAAGTTTGTTGAATGGTAATCAAAAATTATTATAATTGTTAACTCTCCCCGATTGTTTCTATATCTACCTCTCATCTCATGTCTTATTTGGAATTATAATGTAATAATATTACTAAAATCTCATTATAGGATTTTGGAGCTAACTAAAATTACCATAGAAATAAACGAAATTGGGTAGTTATAAAAATTTATATTTAAATAAAACAATTTAACGGTAAGTAAATATTGCGGTCAGTTTCGCGAAATGCCAACTTCGACGGAACAGACAGCGCTAGCGTAGCATTTTTTTACTTTAACGTCATCGACATCCTCCATCTTTAGTCACCCCGTGACCACGGCTGCTGCAAAGCATCCGAAAAATCGGGCCGAAGTTAAAATAATTTTTAAATTAATTTAAATAAAATATATCGCGTTTTAAACCGTTAGTGTTTTATTTAAATTATATAAAATTATTACTATATAAATTATTACCTTACATACAAAAAAGTGGTTTTAATATAGATTATATTAAAAATAATCTGACTTTTGTGCCCTGCCTACCAGAAACTATTTTAATGAAGGAGAACGTCCAAAGGGACTTTGCATGTCTCAAATATTGTTTAATTTATTTAAATTTGTACAATATTAATATGAATGAATTTAAGACCCAAAAACAAGCGTAAACGTACTTTATCATTCTTGAGACAGAATGTTATATTCTCTTTAAATTTTAGGGTTTCAAAATTAAATCATAAACTTTAAACAGATATTTCTTATTGTTTATTTACAGGGTGACTCAGGCGGTCCAGCTGTAATCAACGGTAAACTAGTAGGACTTGTATCCTACGGAGTTGGTTGTGCTGGAGTTCGACACCCGGGCGTGTACAGCCTTTTACCAGTCGCAAGACGTTGGATCCGAATAATTACTGGTCTACCTTTATAGATTAATAAATTTGTCATAATAATGTGTTGTTATTATGATGTTATATGATTATGAACACAGATAAGCATAAGTTAAGTTCAATTTATTTCAATCATAGAATTTTCCCGCCAAATAGCCGTCACTGTCACTCAAAAGGCTGACTGACAGTTTGACTTTGACATTACACACAGGTAAGAAATAGCGGCGGGAGCACTTACCCCACCGATTAACTATTAACGAAATATAAACCTGTTTTTGCCGCAAAAATCTAGGAGGTATCACAGATAAAATCTATAATAAAGAATATTATTGATAGTCTGATGTACGAAAAGAAATGTATTTTACATTAAACATATCTCTATAATTTCATATTCTTCTTTTTGTTTCTTAGTATCCTATGTACTTAGCTTTTAATGCATAATTTAATAACTTCGTTTTGATATTTCCCAGACAGAGAAGAGACAAGCATGAGATTTACTTGATGGAAGGTGAAATATACCAGCCATATAAAATGCAAAACAAGATGCGCTCTCAACTTTTTTGCCTTCTATTATTATAAATTGACTGAAACCAAAACGCAGGTTCACTCTTCGTAGTTCGGAGATCCGGGGAACGAGACCCGGATGAACACACCCAAAAAAAAAAAAAAAAAAGGGAAAAAAGGGGGGGAAAAAAAAAAAAAAAAAAAAAAAAGGGGTTGGGGGGGGGGGGGGGGGGGGGGGGGGGGGGGGGGGGGGGGGGGGGGGGGGGGGGGGGGGGGGGGGAGAGGGGGGAGGGGGGGGGGGGGGGGGGGGGGGGGGGGGGGGTGTTTTTATTAAAGGGTGTACTACTCGCGTAAACTATAGACAACCCCCTTTTATGTATAGATTTTTCAGGCGACGTTAAACTATCTAAAATTATAAACTAATAACCTTTTTGACGGGAGAAATGTCTGGTTAATAACCAACGGGTCGTGGGTTCAAGCCCGATATAATGGATATTGTCTGTAAATCTGGATATTTAATGGGTGGTAAGTATCGTAGTAATAATCGATAATCGAAATTCCGTCCATTTCATCAACCACCGTCCACAGATGAAAAAGACATCTTTATCGTTTGGGTTCCAGTCTGTGGATTTTCAAATACTCAAAGCCAAAATTAGCTGTCGACCTGGACAGCTAATTTTGTTAAAATGTTATAAGGGCTGGGCTATTACACCTATCATTAGGTGGACCCCATGTATTCCTCTATAAAAAAAACCTGTTGATTATTAGCAGTATATAACTACTGGACCATGTCCAAATCATTTTATTAATTAAAACGTTAGTCCCGTATTCGTAATGAGTCGGGTCTCCCGTCGCTGTTTTTCATTTCCAGCGAAAATCGCATTTACATCTTTTAAAAAAAGGTTAAATTGGATCTCTGCTTCATTAAAGCTCCCATTATGAGGTAAAAATGTTATATGAACCACATTCTGTTAATAGACTTTTTATGACGCGACAGAGCAGAAAAGCTTTGGGTTTATTTGATTGAGTGTAAAATGCCTAAAGATTATAACATCGAGTTAAGATGCACTGTTGTGCTATTTTGAATGTAACAACAATCTAAATTAAACGTTTGGAAACTTTAAATTTTTTTACAGGTAATTACCTACAGGTTACAGGAAGGCACATGGCACTATATAGATAAAAAATCGAAAATACATTGGTACAACTTAATACCAAATTGCTAAAGTTGAAATTACATTGCGCGAGAGGTGCATGTATCGATTTCAAGTTGAAAGAATTCGACGATGAGGTGTAGGACTCGGTAGCTCAATTGGTAGAGCAATAGCACAGAACGCTGGCGATGACGGTTCAAGTCCTGAAAGAACGATTTTTTTTCAATTTTTTCGATTTTTAATCTTAATTAAACGTCATTTAATCTGTGGACTGCCATTCGCGAAATGGATACAATTGTAGATTTAAAATTAGTTAACTACAATACAAAAGAACAATTCAAGATTTATTACATGATTTTACAGCCTAGTAAGAACAAATTTCCACAAAGCGTAATGTTTTCTTTTCTTTAATAAGTGACTGGAACCGCTAGTAGCCAGAAGTAGTTGTTGATAAATATGAAAATCAATCAAACGAAATCCATCAACTCACGATTGACCTTGCAGTTGGAATCTATTGATCACTAAGCAAACACAATCTATCACTGTCATAAATATTAAAATTACTAGCCCTTTACAAGTCGACCGGCTCTTGGACTATATTTCATCGTATTGTCGATTCACCATTTGGAGATAAATAAAAAAGCTAAGCGGGTGCAAGTATTGTTTAATGGTTCCGTATTTGTATGAAAAGAACAGTATTTTACAGTATTAACAATGTATTTGAGTTTACAAGGGTAGCTGCAAAAATATTTTGTACTGAGGTATGTACACGCGAGAAGTATTTGTTTCCGGCCTTTGGTAAACATAATACGGTGGTCAAATAAAACATAAAAAACATGGTCAAGGCGCCGAAATCTAATCTTTAAATAACACCATTTAGTGTAACACACATAAAAATATCTGCGTGGAGCTCATCCGTATTTATATTTATAGCCAAAAGCAGTTAATGCGATATTTTGTGTCACGTTACAGGGTTTCAAATCTAATAAAATGTTTGTTTTTCAGATTTTATTTTTTAAACGATAACCTTAATTATTGATTCTATGGTTTGTTTTATTCCATTAATACTATGTCTTACTTCTTTATTATTTGTCTTCATGCTATTACTATTAGAACACACCCGCGCTTCCCTTTTAGTCTATGAATTTCCAACTATCCAAAACTATAATAGATATAGACCGCATCTTGTTGAGATGTTATATGGCTGTTACAATTCACTTTCCATCAACGCCATGTTTTTCTTCCTTCTGTATCATAAAAAAAATTAAGTAGTAAGTAAACTACAGACAGTATATAAAAAAAATAGATTTTTAGATCATCAGATAAGCTACGTCGAAGTTTATCGTAAATGAAATATTCCCTGAAGTCAATAGGGTAGTTAGAGATAAATAAGGAACCCTAAAAAGAGAGGCTTTTCCTCCTTAAATAAATCATGGTCACGTGTGCGAATACGAAATGCTATTCGTTGCGAAAACGCTTGGAAAACACTCGCACGGACGCAGTGGGAATGCAGAACGATTTGCAAAATATACAGAAACGCAAAGTATCATTAAAAGCGGCGTTTTTTCGTAAAAGTAAAATTTCGCTTCCCACTTTAGAGCATGGGGCGAACATAGTTTTGTGTCTGTTTCACTGATGGGCATCTTTTATAGGAAATGGTTGTTCTCTATTCGGATCCGCGACCTCTCTCCAGTATTTAACTCTCTCTCGAATTGTTTACAATGAAAGAGATTAACATTTAAATATCTATTTGTATGTTTTCTAATAATTCAAATACATAAAGGAACGTAGAAAGTTCTTTCGGCGTTGTCGCTGGGAAAGTAGGCGGCACCAGGCCACAAAATATATTCTAATTAATGTCCATAAAATATACACGTGTATCTTTTTTCTAGTTACAAGGATTCAAACGGTTAATACTTGATAGTACACAAAGCAAACAACTTATAAGTATTAATTGAGCTCCACTTTCAAATAATAAAAAAAATAACCAAACGAAAAGCGTAATCAATTCTTGACGAAATCAAACAAAATATGTCACCGTATGTTTTCACAAAGGGAACCAACAAGGCTTCTAGTGGTTGAATATGTGAATGCTGTAATAGGGAAAATCAACTTGTGATCGTAGGAAGGGTTTACTGAAAATGAAATTTGTTTCCGTTACATTAGGAACTGTGACTCGATTTTGGATGAAGTCTTTAGTAAATAGAAACAACTCAATCTCAGACCATCGATATCAAAGTCGTGTTTTTTAAAGAGAGGTTCATGGGGCTCGTTGGTGTAATGGTAGCAATGTACGGCTAATAATCAACGGGTCATGGGTTGGATCCCCACCTGGACCGACATGTTTCAAATTTTTAAATTTAATTTTTCCGAAAAAGCACTTCATCGGGAAATCTGGATATTAAGTGGTCGGTAGGAAGATAGAAATTACGTCCGGGTCACGAAACACCGTCCACAGATTAAAAATCCGTCAATATCGCGTTTTGGTTTCAGTCTGTGGATTTCCGAATATCCAAAACCAGCATAGGTCGACAGCACATCTTGTTTATTTAGTAATTTATTGGTCACGACATTTTATTTAGTAATTACACGACAAATGTCATTTTATTTAGTAATTTATTGGTCCTAAACACGACGTATATGCATTTTCATACAACTATTGCCGGCCGCTGCGTGACCGGTATAGCGAGTTTGATTTATCTCGAGATTTGCCAAAATAATTCTGAAATGTCCAAGCATTTAAATAAAACACTTTAACGGTTTAAAACGCGAGGATAGGGAGTCTCCCCGTGACCACGGCTGCTGCAAAGCATCAGAAACGTCGGGCCGAAGTTAAAATTGGAATGTCGGTAGATTAGTAGTTAGTTCTTATTTAGTGTTAGTTTGTAGGTAGCTGTAACTTGTATGTAATAAACGGTTGTTCTATGGATCCCGCGTTTAATTGACGTATCATTGGCGACGAGATCGGGAATTTCCATAATTTTGTGTTGTTGCGAGTTTAGTATTTCAAGATGTCCATCGGTAAAATTGAACCATTTATCATAAATTCTAAGCAATGGCCGGCGTATATTCGACGCGTAAATCAGTTTATAAAGTTAAATGGTGTCAAGGACGAACTAAAAGTGCCCATGTTAATAACGGTGGTTGGCGAAGAAACGTATTCGTTGATGTGTGATCTCTGTGCACCGCGATTTCCTGAAAATACGACGTACGAGGAGCTCGTAAGTCTAGTGGCACAACATCTAGAACCACAACGCTCAGAAATCGCCGAGCGCCATGTTTTTAGACTAAGGCGGCAACACAAGGGCGAAACGTTGACGCAATATTTACAATCTCTGAAACACTCGCAGCAAATTGTAATTTTGGAAAATGCAAATCTTGCA